GGGGAATTCTGGGAGTTGAAGTCCACATATCTTAAAGTTGCCAAGTTTGAAAAACACTGATGTAGAGCATGTGGCCAGTAACAGGTACTCTTCATCCTTCTGTTTCAGATCCACCATAAATAGGACATCTGTTATTTCTAGAGGCAGCCTCCCTTCAACCTTCAGTTATGTAGTCTGGGCTCTGTTGGCCTGAACAGAATATAAACCATAACAGGAAGGGATTCTTAATCAACAGGATAAGAAACTGGAGGCTTAGCTGCAATTAAGTCATCAAGTCATCCCAAAGGTATATCGCATATTTCAACAATGGGTTTGGATGTAAAGGCATGGCCTGAAAAAAGCTATTGCTCAAATGCTTACATTCCAGGTTGTATGATTATTAGGACTATGATGTGCTTAGGGTTCGACTTCAAAAGGGTGCTTCCAAGTGCTTAGGAGCATGAGCCCAGCACTTGTCTGGGACTCTTTAAAGCAGTCACATTTTTTCCTGTGATCTCTTGGCTGCCCTCTGCTGTTGCCACATGATCCCGGAAAAAGGCATGGCTGCCTTAAAGAGTTGCAGACAGGTGCGCCATTCCTTCCTCTGTACGCTCTGAAGCACCTTTCTGGAATCTAATCTGAAGCACTGCACAGCCGTAAGAATTAACAGCCCACTTACTGATATTCCGCACGCTGCTTTTTTTTTGCCAAAACGCTTCAGAAATCTTCGCCAGAAGGGAACGCTTGCTGTAGCTGACACCTACATGTTATAATGGAAAAAAACTTGTCAGAGAAGGGAAAATTATAGCTCTGTTGTGTTTAGAGCTCTCAAGGGAATTAGCTGTGCAATTTGAGGATTGCCAGCACTACATAAATATGAACAGCTTCATGTCACAACAAGAGGGCAGAAGCTTGGACTCTGGTGGGGTCAGCCCAAAGAGATATATATGCATGAGTTTAAAAAGGTGACCAGAGAGCCAGAAACCAATTTTTAAAAATCTTTTTATTATATTGTTATTGGCAGCCTTGTGAGGTAGTCAAGACAAGACTACCAGAAGTACTAGCTCTAACTTTATTGTAAGTTACATTAACCTTAAGTCTGAAAGTACATCTCTCCCCCCTTGCCTTTACAGTCCAAGAAACTAGGGAAGGTCCCTTCTGAGACGTTTGCCATGCCTACATTCCTTCTGTGGACTCAGCTGCCTCTTATCTGGCCATTGTCTAGTCCAGTGTTTCTCAACATTAGCAACTTTAAGAGGTGTGGACTTCAACTCAAGCTGGCTGGGGAATTCTGGGAGTTGAAGTCCACACATCTTAAAGTTGCCAAGGGTGAGAAACACTGGTCCAGTCCATGGCTATTCTTCCTGTCTCCCAAAATCATTCATACCATTACAGTTATAAATCTTGATACATTGTGTTGTTTCAATACAGTGATGTTTATATATAATTAGAGATTATTAACATTCTATCATTTAGCTTAAAGTATTGAAAATAGAGAAAAGAAAGAAATCTATCAATATTGATTACAGTTTAGGATGTTAATATTACAAGCATAAAATTATTTGGCTTTTTCATCCAAAGATAAACATAACATTAAAAAAAAGAACTGCTGCAACTCGCATCAAAGTATTGGTTGTATGATAATGGTTTCAGTCTTAAGGTAAGTTCTCCATTGTATTGATATATAACCCTCTAACATCTATCCACTCAATCAGATCTAGTAGAATGGGTTCTTTACACATCCTCTGGAGACTGCCACGTTTAGGAACCACAGAAGCATATCTTCTCAGATGCTACCCCCTCATAAAATAGTATCACCCCCATATCGAAACAGCCCCCTTCTTCCTGACTTTTAGAACATTAGTGAAAACTGGGCTAATTCATCAAGCTGTGGGGAGTGGTTTATTATAACTATTCCTCCTGAGCAGGAATTAGTTTTACTCTTCTGAATATGTCTCCCAGTTTTAAGTTATTATAATAATTTATGGTTTTGTTTTAAAATTTGATTTGTATTGTTTCTAATCCCAATTACATATGCAGAGTTGTATGCTGCTCAGAGTCACCTGATTGAAGCAGCCTATAAGCCCTGCAAATGAATGAATGAATGAATGAATGAATGAATGAATGAATGAAATTGGCAATTAGAACAAAGTAAAAAAAACAAGAGATGGAAACACAGCACAGAGTTTATGTAAAGCCCTATGTTCCATCCCATATGAATGGCAGGCAAGTCCATCTAAAAGTAGACTGAGAGAGGGAGGGAGAGAGAGAGTACTTAATTTCAGTTACTGACCAGTCTTAAATAACATAAACTGCAGATATAAACTAGAATAAGATTAAAGACAAAATAAAGTAACTAAAACAAAATGGATTAGAGAAGGATAAAATGGACACAATCAGCAGGTAAATCACTTTGAACACTGAGGCTATTAGAACTAGAGTTTCAGTTAAGAGACCATTGTAAATGATAGCTAGAAATAGATAAACAGGAGGGGTTAACAGTTTTGGTTATTACTAAACTTGGAGCAGGTTTGATTAAATTAAACTGTGCTTAACGAGGTCCTGCCAAATTTTACTGGCTATTAAATGGAACTCTCATTGGCTAAATGATAATTGGAATAAAAAGAGTCTTTTAGTCTAGGAGAGTCTGAGCTATACCATTTAACCAGAAAAAATTGTGGTGGGAGAAGGAAATTTAGGAGGGTCCAGGCCACCCAGCTCTAGCTCTGGCTCTGAATACCATGGGGTGTATGATGATCTTTGCCAGGGTACTTTTGGACTTCTCCAAATCTTTCTCCACTGTTGAGTTGAAGTATTCTCCACTTATCCTTGAGTCAGCAGAAAATTGTATCAGCCCGAAATCAGCTGTCCCCATTACTAATCCCTATCTTGCTCTCGTTGCCTCTTTTCCCAGTCGCTGCAGTCACTGGACTTCCTTCCAGTGGGTGACAAAAGCCTAACAGATTTCATGTACCTTAGGGCTGCTTTCCAACAATGTCACAATGAACTGGGAAACAACTCCTTAATGCTGTTGCAGCTAAAGATAATTTCAGCCTGTCTCTCTCATGCTGAGGATGAGATGAAGGCAACATTATAAGGCAATGGGAGAAAAAGGATATTGCCAGGACACATTTGTGCCAAGGTTAGGTGCATGGGGAAAACCCTTCAGTCATGAAAACTTAATCTCCATATAGATATAGACCATGTAATGGAAATGTGCTAAGAAGGGACATAGTACACAAAGAAGCTTAGCTTTGTCCATATACTTACCAAGATAATTAGCACTAAATTCTGAAAGTGATTGCGAAGACCAGCTGCATAAGTACAAAAAAGAACAAAGTTTCCTTGTTCGATCTAGAGAGTTGAAGAAAAGAAAAGAGTTGCTGGGAGTCAGGTGGCATATAACTCTAATAAATTATTATTAATAGAAAAGAGAGCTATATTATTAGGGTAGACATGATTAAAATGTGAAGGAGGATAGATAAACACAGTGATTTTAATTAGATTTTCCATTTACAATTCATATATTTCTTGATTAGACTACATGGTAATTGGCTTTTTAATAGTTAAAAAAAAGTTTTCTATATAGAAGCATATTAAAAATCTCTGATCATGCATGCTTTTTATACCTTGTATCTGCTTTTTCTGTTTATATGAATCCAGAAAGGTGGTTAGCAAACCTGTAACTGTGACACCACTGGATCATGCTCACTGGCTTTTAACATTAAAAATACATGCATTTTTAATAATTAAATAATAAAAATGCCACAAGATAGTCAACATTTGTAAGATCTCTGAATGCTCACATAAGATATTGGGCTGATTTTAAGGGAAAATGGGATTGCCCTTTAGGGAAAGTAAGATCACATATACTGTATATGATCAAGTTGTCATACTGAAGGTGCACAGATTCTTCAATGCAATTGATACAAGCCAAGTTGCTGCAGATGCTGGGTGAACAAGAATTACCTGAACGGCTGTTAAAATCAGGAGAAATGCTGCTGTAAATATCAAATATGGCCGATGCATCATTGCGTGCTTTTGTCCTTTAAAGAAAGGAACTTTTTTGGCTGGCATTAAGGTGTATGGATCTATAATGGGTGGAATATATACAATATTGTTTATACGATATTGTAGATTAAATGTAGAAAATAGACACACAGAAATATTAATAAGCTTTAAATATGCTCACCAACTTTTTCTTTCACTCCAAAGAATAGGAAAAGGATGCCGACAAGGTAGATGCCTCCTACCAGTCCAGCTGCAATCATGTAGACCTTCCTCTTTAAAGAGATAGTGGTGATAAGAGAAGATTTCAGTCAAATGACACTAGTAAGAAACAAATAAAAGAACAAACAACTGCCTAAACTAAACAGAGCTCTACTGAACAGCAGATTTACAAGTAAATTCAGAAAAGGGATCAGCCTAATAAGAGTTTGACTGGTTTGTTGGTAGATGGCAGAGATGGAGAACTATGTGTCTCGGCTGTGTTCAGGGGGTCTCTCCTTAGTTGCCTACACGATCCCTATTCTGAGGGGTAGTGTCCTCCATCCATCTTCTGTCAATCTGCTGGACTAAATGCAATCACTGGTCACCTAAAGCTGCCAGAGATAAAGTTTGAATAGATAAATTAAGGTTTGAAACGCAACCATATTAGAAGGTGAGTAGAAGAAGCAAAAAAGTTGTATTAGGAACAGAGAGCTTGATACAAACCATACATTCAGTGAGAGAACACTGAAAAATGTGGCCATCCTAGATTTTCTTTGGGACATGGCAAGCTAATTGCTCAGGGAGCTGACTGATGCTTCCTCAGGCTGTGTCTCCACTTGTACCTTACTATGGCACAAACATGCCTTGGCAACAACTTTTGACTGTTATATTCCCATGACATTGCCTTTATCTTGTCCCCAGCCCATGAGTGACAAAGGCTTAGGCCATTCCTGGTGTACTAGAGTTATAATAGCATTTCCCCTCTTATTCCAATACTTTCAAAGGACAGCCTCAAGGTATATAAAATCTGTTAAGCTCACCACCCAGTAATTTGTCAGGGGATTGGCAGTGACTGAGAACAGCAGCAATAGAGGCAGATGGGCAACAGGGAGAGCAAATGTCATGCTTTAAAGTTTTTTGCCAGTTTAAGGATGAGTAGATAGCACTTTAACTCAAGGATGGGGAAAGAGCCTCAGACTGAAGAGGTGATATTTTTCTACAGCTTCCCTTGTCTAAGAAACAGGGATAATGAAGATCTATGTTTATAAGAGAAAAAGAACAAAAGAGAAGCTGCATTTCAGACTAGAGACAAAAAGTAACAAAACTGAGGGGGAGAAAGACTACGCGCGAGGGCTGAGCAAAAAATGAAGGCACCTGGGAATGCTGGAGTGACTTTCAGTTATCTGATAAACAGCAGTGATTGGCTCAGTTTAGAAGTGACGTGGACTGATTCAGTGTGTTGTATATGTGCAAAAGAAACCTCAGTATTACAAACCTTCCCCAATTCTCTACTGATCTTTCCTTCCAAAGGAAATCAAACCTTCTTTAAGTACTGTATCTGGAATTTCTCATGATTCGATAAAATAAGGAACGTGCAACTGAATTGAAAGCTCTTTATAATGCTAAATATGTAATCCCCAATTGTAATGATACCTTCAACTCTAGAACTAATTAATCATGTTTACTGCATAGGGGGGGAAACCTTTGCCTCTCTGGGGAATTTTCATTTTGTCTACTTTCTGGGTATCTTGTTTTTCATTGGTTCTGTCCTGTTTCCAGCTGATACTACTTCATATAGTAGTATGGGTATTTAACTTTTAGACACAGCACTGCTTACATTGTTCTTACAACTAGACACTGTACCTTTTGGTTATACTATGAACATTTTGCAGCCACGGTAACATATAAGTTTAAATACTGGGCCTATGAAGTGGATAATGTTGGTGTTTTGTGTGTGTGTGTGTGTTCTATTATTGTAGTGCTCCAGGGAAAATGTACAACTGAGAAGAAGTAAATTATGGATTTGAAGACCATTACTGAGAGATCCACACACTCTAAGAAGAATCAGCCATTCACTTCTTGACCACTTCTTCATTTCTGACTGCTTCCCAAGAAGAAGATAAATAAGCAGAAACTCACACATACATATATGCCTGTGTTGCCAGCAGCTAAACAACAACAAAAAGACTATGCTTGGCATGGGTGTCCATGGGAGGAGGGAAGGGGCAAGTGATGTGACACATGCTGTAACATCATTGTGCAATGGACACAGATTAGATAATTCACATCAGTTGCACAATGCCATGATATTCATGATATCATTGTGGCTTGTACCAGGCACCAATGATGCTTAGCAAGAGTGAGAAAACTAGAAGAAGTGGAATTTATATAGAATTGCTATTGGTTAATTTTAATATGGATATCTATATTTTTATTGTTTTTATTGTTTTGGATTTTAATTGTGAGCCGCCCAGAGTTGCCCTCTGGAGGAGATGAGCAGCATATAAATTTAATAAATAAATAAAATAAAGGCAATGTGGAAGGTTGATGGATGTGATTAAATAGATTAGTGAAATATCCTTGGAAGAGATAAAGAGTTATTACTAAAGATAGGTCAAGAGAGAAGCATTTGTCTGTATAATCACCAGGAACCTAGCTAACAATTTTTAATGCTGTTTCTATTTGTTTCAATTTGCCTCGGCTCTGCCCCAAGTAGCAAATAAACATGTTCTGTCCTTTTATTTACAGGGCAGGCTGGAGTAGTTTATTTTCAGCAAGTGAGAATCAAATGCCTGCGTTTGGAAGCTAAATGAAAAATTACTGGTTTGTCATTCACATAGAAAAGACACTGAATATAGAATAGATTCTGCTTAGAAATTAACTGAAGGATTTACATAGCTAAATGATATAACACTGATTCCCAATTAAAAAAAAATTCTCCCTATGTAGTAAGGAACTTTTTTTCATTTTTAAAATAGTTCTTTAATCTGGTCTGCCAGCTAGACTGCTGCTGAGCTTCTCAGCCAGCAGACAGAATGATAGTCATTAAATTAGCATATCTTAGCTCTATTGTTGTGAAGGTCCTTCAAGAACGGTAATTTTTTTAGGGTTACCACTCAAAAGAAGAAGAAAGACAGTGAATAGCATGAAAAAGAAACAACAGTACAGGGAAACAAAATGGCCCCAGAAGTACAGAAAGCACAGATTTATTAATAACCATGACAGACGATTGTCCACAGAATACAACTGACACTAGTTTTTGAGAGCTGAAGGTGATGTGATAGAGCCAGTGTTATCCATGACACACACTTATTATTCTTATTCCCATGATCTAAAGTAATACCAAAAAAATCCAAAACAAACCACCATCTGGATAAGGGTTGCCTATCTCCAGCCCAGGTATAAGAATATTCACTCTAAGTTTCAGATGATCAAAGATTCCTTGGGACTGGAACTGGTTACTAAAATGCCAAGTAAGAATAAAAGTAAGAGATTGGGAAAATACAGATCATTCCCAAATACATCTCAGAGAATGTCACTAAAAGTTCCTCCTGTTAATATTATTTGAAAGCTATGGAACTAACTATGAAAAACATTATAAATGATAATAACAATGTTTCAGTCTCTGAAAAATGTTATGGGTGTAATATAAGGAGTTGCAAGGAAGTTCATGCAAGGAAGTCCCTACAAAAAGGGACTAATTGCCCTCTAGGCTCATCAGTCCAGCCCCACTTCCTGTTCCTTTGTAATCCATCATCTAGTACAACCCAATAGGCAGGCATTTGTACTTCTGCAAATAAGAACATATGAATAGAATGAACGGTGGCTACTATAGTGATTTCTGTGCCTGGTTTTCTGCATACATATATGTGAATAATTATAGCTGCCAAATACATAACCAAGTCTGGTTCCATGCACCACTTAGACACATACATGCAATCCACATGTAAACCATTACAGCTACAGCCAGTTGTAGTTTTCCATTATGTGAATTAAGTGACATCAGGCATACATCTGGATTTCACAGATATAGGATTATCTCATCTCTACACTAATCTTTGTCCCTTGACATCTTTTGACAAGTCCCCATGATACATCAACTCCAAATCACATCAAAGACATACAGTAGTTATTAGACAAAAGCTGAAAAAAGAAACACTTCTTGGTAAGTCCCGCTGAAGTCAAATGAGATTTGCTTTAAAAAATATTTAGGATCAGAGTCTATTACAATAAATTTGCTATCCTCATTCTAGTGTAACGTGGCATTATAAAAACATTACAAAATGTTTTTGACTTACTCCATAAGACACATCTAGAACTTCAGAGCTGTTCTGTTGCAGCTCGATAGTTTCATTCTGGCTACAACAATGAGAAGTGTGAGCACCAGCAACTATTTGACCTTGTAGCGTAGCTCCAATCAATGTTCCAAGAACTTCAAATGCCATTCCTACAGGAGGAAAACAAATCACTTCTACAAATCTTGGTTGTTTAATGACTGCTGAAGCACTGCAGACAGCGTTGTCTACAGGGGGATCAAAATCTGCAAGATGGAGGGGGCAGCGTCAGGATCCAAACCCCACCCCTTTTGTAAGTGCAGCACATCTTGCAGATTTTGACATACACACCCTTCTAGACAGATGTTAATAGTAAAACACTGATTTATATGTATATTACAGTGAATGTCAAGCAGTACCATAATGTGGGGGGGGGAGGGGAACCACTATAATAAAGGCAAGGAAAGAAAAATGCTGGAATCACTTAAAGGCCAATGGTTTATTATAGAGCTATCTCTTCCTAGGTGTATTTATCTTCCAGCATAAAGCAGGGACCCTAGAGAATAAATGGAAGTCTACCTGTCATAAATTGTCTCTACCTGACTGAGCCTCAGGCCCACATATTTCCTACCCTCTGCTTTACTTCTTTCTATGCTTCTCTGTTTGACAGCAAACTGCAGTTTGTCTCTGTATTTGAATTGTTCAACTATTGCCTACATTGGCCCTTCAAATCAGAGTTGAAATAAGTCACATAGTGCCTTCCATTTACTCCCTCCGTATGGTAGGGAATAAATTCAGAATTTGCAAAGGGAGTAAGGAGGAGAACGGTAGATTGTCCAAGTGTTTAGCTCGGCATTATATGTAAATCAATACCTGAACTGTTCTGTTTTTCAAAAAATTGCTCCCCTCTCCAGAACATACTAATATACCATATGCCATGAGGGACTGTGGTGGATGGCAAAAGAGGACTTTCTCTCTATGAACATGAAAAAGTTTCAGCAGTACAGTTTCTAACCATTTTGAGGCAGAAAGCACAACAAGCAAGTTGCACAATCCTTAGAATAAATTTAAAACAGAAAAATAAAAGAGAAATGTAGAGCCTCTATCCTCCAAGAAAGTTGTAGCCCCATTCTAAGATGGAGACCATGGCTGGCCATTTCATACCCTCACCCTACCCAATGTTTCCTTCAGTCCCTCCCCCACCCCCAAATCAAAAGCTGACCTAACCGTTCCTCTTGAAACTCACGGAAGGCAGTTGCTGAATCGCGATCCGCTTGATCTGTGCTCAGAAACATGGTGAGAGCAGAATATGGCACCTGGTACAGCTGTAGCAAAAATACTTAGCAGCTCTATCACAAATAGTTTAAAAAAATAAATAATTATGGCATTTTTATTTTCAGCTTGCATAGTGCATTAACTTTTACTGCTCATAACATGGGGAGACTGGAAAATTGTTATTAAGACATTATTTTTTAGCATAGAACAATATTACTATTAATTTTAAAAAGCCCCCAGTCCCTTTTTGATCAGTACTATTTCTTTTAAAAACCTTTTTTTTAAATTAGCATGATAGTATTATGGTGTTATAATACCATTTTTCCAGTGAAATATGGTGAAACAGCACAACAGTGCCACGTAAAACTTTACTTTTATAATATAGCAGTATTATAATACAGTAATGGACATCACAGCATCGCCACAGACCCCAACAAATGACCATCTGAAATGTCCAATTTGGAAGAACAAGATTTTAACAATACCACTAAGTGAGAGACGGTTGAACTCACATACTTCAAAAGGTTTCAGGCTATCTCTGAAGGTCTCAACAAACACAGTGGTTTTTAACACATGACAATTGTTAACTGATAAGGTACTTGTAATCTGTCTGACATGTAACCTACATCTGGATGACCAACCTCCCGTCCCCTCCCCTCCCGTCCCCTCCCGTCCCCTCCCCCCCACAGCCTCATCCAAATCTATTTAAAACCTACGTCCATCTAGCCTCTCTATGCATCTGATGAAGTGAACTTATGCCTTTTAATAAATTGTGTTAGTCAGAAAAGATGCTACCAGACTCCTCCTGATTTTTTGCTACAAATGGCAGAGAATTTGTACAAGACACAAAGGCCATACCTCAATCATAACCTTAAAAATGTGCCAACCAACAGGATCAAGCAATCATTGGATGGACACTCCCAACAACACTAAAACAATTTTTCATCTTTCTAATAAAGCAATGGCATTTTGGGAGCATGACTGTGTTTCTGTTGATCCAGTTGGTCAGCATAAACAAAAAGCCTGGCATGCAGTACTAGAATTCCAGTAATTAAAAATACGATGAGCAGTATCTTCCACTAGCTGCTTTTGTTAAATCTCTCTGAACTGCTCAATTAATACAATTATCCCAGAAATATATAGTACTTCCCTACTGGCATTCTATGACTGAGCAGGTACACCATTTTATCTGAGAAGAATTTGTGATTCACTGACGTAATATCCAGAAGTACATAGTGTTTACTATGTCTGAAAAAAATTGTTTTCAGCATCAGTCAACTTACTGTACTCAGGGCTTGGAAAAGGCAATAAACAGTCAGATACCACAGAATTCGGTTTGATACGAAGGGAGGTAAGTACCACAGCAAGATATAGGACACAATCATGAATGGTGTGCAACCCAACAACCTGGAGTGAAAGCAAACAAGTATACATGAAGTAAAATGGACAGGATAGCCCCACTAAGATAATCTATCCCTGTGCAGAAGTTGAGAGTACATGGAGAAAAAGACACACAGGATGTATCTTTCACCAGATAAGGATACTGAATTCTGAGGAGCAAAAGGGTAATTTTGACATTTGCCTCTTACAAATAAAATATCTAAAAACTGCAAATACATCAGCTCAATACATAGTGTCTTTACAATTTCTAGATACTGAGCTCTTTCAAGCCCATGACTTGCTATAAATACTTCATGAATATTTGCATACTTTAAATTGAAAATGTTGCTTTTCAAATTATTTTCCTTCTCTCCCAGAAAGCAGAATGGAGCCATTTAACATTTGAATGTACATCTTAGACCCTATATTTTATCATCTGCTGAAACTGAAAATTCAAACACTGATTTAAATTTCAGTTATGAAAAAATCCTTACAAATGGTTCAATACAGAAATTAATAAACCCAATGGAGTTTACGAACATCAAAAGAAAAGTTACTAGGAACTTCTGTGGAAGAAAGTAAAGGGGTAACAAATGGAAACACATATTATTTCAGAAGGGCTCTTTGGTCCCCGCCCACCCCTAGATCTTCCCACGCACTGCCATAAATCTTTTGAGGGAAATTGTTAAGGGTCTTACTTGCATGGCTGGAGGAGTTTGTAAAAAAAAGTCCATTCTTCAGTATAATCCTTCTCATGCTTCCAATCTGTGTGTAAACTCCTTTTCAGTTGCCAAAGTGGATTAAATTCAGCCCTCAATTTTTATTGCAAAAAATGTCAGGGAGCTAAAAGGTGGAAGAGGACATACCATTTTGATTCTGAATGAGCTGCTAATGTCCAACTGAGGGGCAAAAGGCTAACATGAAATCGTGTTTAACCATAAGGAAGCATGCTACTTTTCAGTTCTCACAAGTTTTAAAAATATAATCTTTGGCTTAATATGTTGTGATTACATTCTATTCTGTCTTCATCCCCATTGAGGTTTTCTTGAAGGAGCACAGGGTGCTTATCTTTAGGAGATCCCTATGAAGTTAGCTAGTGTGAACAATAGGGATTAGCCCATGAGGGTTTCATGGCTAAGTGGAATTTTGAACCTGAGCTCCCCACATTTAAGATCAATCCCTCATGCTATCACATTATCTTTCATATTCTTAGTCACAGACATGAGTTATTCCTTTTTAAAAATTTAGGTGCTTTATTAACAATATAGATCTTTTGATGTGTGCCACGGTGTGATTAGGTTTACTTTAACACCTGAGGTTGTGTCGCAGATAAATAGTGCTTAAGATTAGTATCCGCTGTAAAATGAATTTACCTTAAACTAGGAGCTAGATTTTGTGTGCTTTTGAGCAGGGAAGCTACTCCCACCCTTATAAGTATGAAGGACACATGATTAGGGCTCAACCAATCAGAATACCACAGAATTTTTAATTACTTTCCTACACACCAATTCAAGGAAGTATTGGTCAGCCAACTATCGTAAAGATAGCTGGGACATTACCCAATGTATGAATTGACTGGCAAAGTACAGATAACCACTGTCTGCTGTGGCACCCATGGGTAAATAATTTAGCCATGATTAGTTTTAAACATGGCTTATCATACTGTGCACACATGCCCAATGTAAAGGTCTGTCTATCACTGTCGTCTAAATACAGGCTTGCTTTAGTCAGTTCTTATGAAACTGGAACTAATGAGGCCTTCATGTATTTTCATGGCAACAATTCCAAATGAACAAATCAATCAGTAAAACAGTTCCAAACAACTCTTAAATGAACTCATGGCTGATAAACTATTCTGTGCATCAGTCAAGCTGGTGTAAAGTTAAGGGACAAAAGGCAGTATGTTCTAGCTTTGCTATTTGTGAGTGGTGAGCAGATGCAGTTATTCCCCAGAGCATGACCTCTGGTTATAACAGAACTCTCCAGCATTCTTGTAAAACAGCTAGTACACAATGTAATCAGATGACCATGGACGTTATTAACAAAAACTGGGAAGAATAGATAACACACAGATTAATCCCATCAGAATAGTATTATCTGAAAAGTATTTTTTCAACCATCCCATTCATGCAACATAGACAAGAATTCATTATCACAAATAATGGATTGAAGAACAAAAAAAAAGAAAAAGGTAGAATGCATGAAAAACTTTGTTCAGCATATTTAATGTTTCTATCCTCTTCTCAGGATTGAACATTTTAGAGTCTGCTTATGAAGCCCTGCAGTGAAAATAGCCACAATTTATAAGAAGTCAGCACAATTCATATAATTCATAGTCAGAAAAATACAAAGATGAAACAATGCCTCGAAACTGAGAAAACTTTACAGGTAGTCCTTGTTTAGCGACTGCCTCATTTAGTGACCATTCACAGTTACAATGGTGATGAAGAAGTAACTTTGCAACCAATCCTCACATTTACAACCTTCACAGGTCTGTAAAGCAAAGAAAAGCTGAAGTAAGATCATAAGTACTGTCACTTAGCGACTGAGTTGCCAGTTCCAATTGTCGCTAAACAAGGACTACCTGTATCAATACACACATTTCCCAGGTCTAATTTATATCCCTAAATCACTTTATAAATAAACTGTACATTCTTCATTATTGTGTTCAGCAGCCCACCCCATTATTTTCTAGATCAGCTGCAGTGTACAGGCAGTACTCAGGTTAAGAATGAGATACGTTCCTATGTCTGTCTTTAAGTCGCATTTGTATGTAAGTCGGAATAGGTTAATTAGTCAAATGTCTGAGTTGAGTTCCAAGTTTTGACAGATTTTTCTCCAGTATAATAAAGTATACTTCGCTATAAAGTGGAGATCAGAAACACTTTCTGGCTATAATCTAGCAGTACAATTGAAGATGGTTCTTCCAATATCAAACTGGAATTGCAAAGACCCTAGAAAAAGAGAACATGGATATAGAGCCCTCTGTTTGAATAGTTTCAGAAAAAGAACCTGTCTGTATTTTAGGCAAGCCTGAAGGTCTATGAGTGCTTGTGTTAAAGCTGGTTCAACTAAAATTCAATCACATGATTGGCACCAACCGGAATTCAATTCACATATTGATCTCTCACCGTCCTGAAGGTGGCCAAATGTTCCAGCAACGTAATCCAACTCAAAATGGGGGACAGTGTTCTCCTTCCTCGAGCCGACAAACCACTGAAGCTGCACGATGCTTTCATGAACCACTGAAAACAGACTGCATGTTAAAAACGCACACACTACTTCATGATGCTCATGAAAACACCGTGCGGCTTCAGTGGTTTGTCGGCTCAAGGAAGGAGAATGCTGTCCGCCATTTTGAGTTGGATCATGTTGCTGGTCAACCATCTGCCATTTTAAGTAATAGGAAGCCCATATATATGTCTTTAGAATAATGTTCTGTCCATCTGATAAAATGGACAATAGCCTAAGGAATCTGATATTAGAATAAATGTGCTAATCTTAAGAGACAATAAGATTCTGTTGTTTTTTGGAAAGTAGGGCATGGGGGTTGGCTCCTGTGTTTACTATTAACTAAAAAAATTAAGATGCCCTCAGGTCAAGCTCAATTCTTAGTGAGTTAGGGAAGTGGCTTTCATTGTCTTCTTCTGTGATCTTTTCAACTATTCAGTCTAGCAGGCAGACTTTACATTCCCAGGTTGTCTTCCTTCTAGGTGTTAACCGAGACCAAATCTCTAAGATCAGCCAAAGTCAGCTACGTAATGCCACCTGGTAAGGCTATTACAAAATAATTTCCTTTTAAATTCTAATTGTCTAGAGGACAACAAGCTATTTGAAAGAAAGGCATTTATAAAGCCACCATCTAATACAGTTTCTCCAGAGGAAAAAAGGTGTTGTACAAGAGCTAGTCTACACTGCAGAAGGCTGATAAGACAACAGTCAACCAAGATAAAAGGATAGGTTAATGCTAACCTTTGTCAAGCATGACAAAGGTACCAATGTCTTGCTATGTAGCACACTTTTCCTCTTCCCAGTGCAGATTATCAGTTGTAGATAACACAGTCTTATGGGAACTGAACAACAAACATTGTCTGTTGGCTTCTTTTTGAGCAAAGAAGAATTTTCAACAGTAATACAACTTTCAGGATCACAGAGATCACTATATCTTAGCCTAAACTACAAACATATACAGGTTATTGGGAGAAGAACGGAGACCAATTTCATCCATATTAGGAGATTGGAATATTAATACATGTATAAACTAATCAACAAACAAAAGTATAATGGATAACTGAAAATGAAAATGCATATTTGAAAAGAGCTAAAAGAGATTGTATTTTACATTCTTGACGGCTATTTATTTCTCTTGCATGCCTTGAACCTTTGTAAAGTTCACGCCAGTCTACTCTAAAAAAAGAACATTTACATTGACCTTCATGAAACTCTAGGTCTTCGGGTCCCTAAACTGTCTTCACTTCTAAAAAATAGCAATCAATTCCTTTTGATTAACCTTTGCAGACTGGAGTATATAAATGAAACACTTCACATCTAGATTTCAAGATTCACATTCTGTATGTGTTATTATTGATTAATTACCATAATTTTCTCAAGACAAGAAATATGGCAAGCAACACAAGAAGCAGTAGTACAGGTTCTAACCAAGCTATGCCAGGAAATCTGGGAATGACACTGTAGCCAACCGATTGGAAGAGGTCAATCTACATTCCAATACCAAAAAAAGGAGACTTTTTTTGTACAAACTATCATACAATATCCTTAATTTCACATGCTAGTAAATTAATACTTAGGATGACACAAATTAGAGCTCTGCATTGCAAAGAGATGCCAGATGTTCAAGTTAGCAACATGAAATATTATTTCTGATGAATGCTGGATAATTGAGAAAGCCAAAGAATACCATTAAAAAGTCAGTATGTGCTTTATTGATTATAGAAAGGCCTTTGATCATGTCAATCACATCAAGTGGTGGAACGTGCTTAGAAAAATGGGAATCCCAGAACATCTCATTGTGCTCATGAAAAACCTTTATACAGGTTGGGAAGTCACAGTACGGGCAGAACCTGGTGAACCAGACTAGTTCCAGGTTGGCAAAAGAGTGAGTATGCAGCAAAGGCTGTATATGCTCTCTTTATTTATTCAATCTATATGCTGAATGTACATTAAGGGAAGCTAGATTGGAAGAAGTTGAGTGTGGTTTAAAATTGGAGGAAGAAACATCAATAACCTACACTATACTGATGACAGTACTCTAATAGCTGAAAATGCAAAGGATCTGCAAGGTCTACTAATAAAAGTCAAGGAGCATAGTAAAAAATTAGATTAAATATAAAGAAGACCAAATTAATGACTAGCGGTACAACAATCAGCCTTAGAACTGACAGTGAAGATACTGAAGTGGTAGATAGCTTCTGCCTTTTAGTATCAACCATCAACAGTAAAGGAATGAGCAGTCACGAAATACACCATACACTTGCACTTGGTGGAGCAGCCATGAAAGCCTTGGAAAAGATATTCAGATGCTCTAATATGTCTATACCACAAAGATCAGAATTGTGCAAGCAATGGTGTTCCCTGTGACAGCCTATGGAAGCAAAAGTTGGACTTTGAAGAAGCAGGTTAGGAAGAGTATTGATGCTTTTGAACTTTGGTGTTGGAGAAAACCCCTGAGAATACTGTGGAAAGCCAAGAAAATAAACAAACAGATCATCAAATGAATCAACCAAGAGTTCTCACTAGAGGCACAAAGGACCAGGCTCAAATTATCCTACTTTGGACGCATTGTCTAAGGATCTAGCTCTCTAGAGAAGGCTCTAATGCTGGGAAAGGTGGAAGGAAAGAGAAGATGGGGATGACCAGCAGCAAGATGGATGGACTTAGTTTCAGTGGTGATGGATGCACCATTGGAAGACCTGAAAGACCAGGTTAGGAACAGATTGTCATGAAGAAAATCTATCTATATGATTGCTAGGAGGTGAGACCAACTTGATGGCACATAATCAGTCTTAAGACAAAGAAATGTTTTTGAGTTTTTTGAGAGATAAGGTCTGGAAAGATTTGTCATCTATTTTGCCTTGTCTAAACTTTCAGATTAGATTTCTAATTCATATTTTATTTTTGAAATTGAAATTAAGGAATACAAATCTGTTCTTCTATCTATACTAGGTTTAGACGTGATCCCTCCATAACTGTTTTGCATATAAATCAATTTTTTTTTATAATACAAAATCTCCTATGATTAAAAAACGAGAACCTTAAAAATCAGCATATCCATTTATACACTAGTAAGCCAAAATATGATTTATTTGATTTTAGCTTACACGTTGGTCAAAAGTCACAGTGATTTCTAAATCATGATTTATTGCTTAGTGTTTTAGGTGAGCCAGCCAATGTAGTTAAGTGTAGTGTATAAACCAGGCCAAAACATTCAAAAACATGTAGCTGGCTTGGAGACTAGGCAAGTGAATAAATGCACTAAAAAAGCATCTGTTATAAGCCATCAACAAAGAAGAAAATACATCAAATTACAGTCTGCTTACCAAGGCATGAGGTGCCCAAACCTGGTTGTTTTGCTCCGATTAATAAAAAACCCTGCAAGAGGATCTGCAGCCGCTCCACACGCTCTGCCAATGACCTGCACCAAAGAGGCCTGAAATGGAGGAATCTGAAAAATCAAGCAGCGGTTATCTGAAGTCTAATATACTTATCTAAGGAAGATATCAGCGCTAAATAACTTCCCCAAATCACAATATTTTGTCTTGTATAAAACATGGAAATTTTTGACTATGCTGTCCTATGAGAAATTTTGTTGATTTGAGATCATTTTATTCATTTGAAATTTGCCCCACATATTTAAATACATATCATACCACATCATATCCTAGCCGTTACTAATGGTTATTAAATAGGTGACTCTTGCCACCAGCTACAAATGAAAAAGATGTTTACTGTTAGTGAAATAGGACAGCAAATCTTGAACTGTGCTCCATGGACGGCTTTCATTTGGCTTTTATATGGTGTCATGGAGTCCACACTGCAAAGGTTTTGGAGGTAGTTTTTCAAAATGTTGGCAAACATCCCAGAAAAATACAACAGCAAATTGCTTCCATATTGTTGACATGAAAACTACATGACTGGGTCCATGAACTCACTGAGAGTAAAAGGTGATTCAAAAGGTGACTTTTCTTTACTGGATCAAGAGAGTGAACCTCCCTCTGCTCTCCAAGTGATGGGGAAGGAGAAATGGGAAGAACATTCAGAGGATAGTTTCTATCAGTCAAAAACTCCCTCACCTTTATAATAATCAGCTCACTGTGGGAAGCAGAGCAAAACAAATTCTGTTTTTTTTGGGGGGGGCTAAATTAATATAAACTAAATTGTTCATATTTTAATTGCTTTCTATAGTTTTTCCTATGTGAACATGGAACCAAGAGGAAAACTGATTAAACTGAATTAACAAATGTCAAGTTATCACACATGACACAACCACAATGGCAAACTCAAGCATAAATTTGGAATCTGAGGAAGTTTAGGTTTCTAACACTGCTTACCTGAGCAATATCCAAGAGATAGATTTGCAGAAAGAATGAGGTGGCACTGCTAGCAACCTGGTTTGGAGCCCCTCCAATGCCATAGCATAGTTTGCTGCACACAGAGAGTTTGTCTTCATGAGCAAGCTGAAAAGGTGAGCAAAGTCCAAAGAATTTATTGGAACTTCAGGTTATGATTCAGTACAAAGTTGATGGCTCCTTCTAAATACTGTATGACTCTGACAACCTACAGACTTTATGACCATTGTCAAATCATTCCTCACTCTTCTTCTTCCCCTTGCCTGTGCTTTCCTTAACTTTTAGATTGATGAAGAGACCTGAACATCTTAAAAACTGGTTCATGATGTTGTATATTTTTCATTGCTTCCAATAAATGTATTGCTTGATCAAGAATTCTGGAATGGATCTTATCAATAACATATTTCAAGGTTTTAGTATTTTCTGTTGCTACAGACATCCATCTGGTCCTCCCCACAATGAAATCTCTTACTTAAATGGGTATTAAATAATTTTAATTTTCATTGGACTGCTGTTTATGTAAGGAAGAACTTACAGAGAAATTAAGAAAACAGTTATGAAGTAGATACATTTTTGCTTGCAGTTACTTTGAATATTATTCTAAATAGGTTAGATTATCCTGATATTGCTCCTATAGCTTTCCAATAGTTTTGAAAACACCCACCACCCACCCCCATCCAGTTTTTGGGTGGCTGAACCTCTTGTGCTTAACCAAAGAAGGGAAAGCTACTCTAGGCTGTCCACAACATGTTTTCCTGTGCCTGTTTTTAAAATGGTTACTGAAGTTTTTATTTTATGCTGTGCACTGAGGGGAGAAGCTCAGATAGGGCCATGTGCCGTGGCTCCTGCTGAGACACAGCGTATGTTGTTCTGCCCTAGGAAAAGAAGCCTGGCTGTGCTGCACCACCTTGCTAACTGGGATAAGCAGCTGGAGCAGTCATGCAACTGTAGAAAAGAAAATGACATGGGCCATAAAAGATATGGGTATAAACTTAAAAAATTGAAAACTGAAAGGGAATTGGCCGTAATGGGTAAGAGTAGGGATAGGGAACTGATACGCCACAGATATTTTGCATATCAATGAAGGAGGCCTCAGAATTCCAAATATTAAATTTTATTATGATGTTAACCATAACAAGAGAGAGCCAGTTTGGTGTAGCGGTTAAGGCAGCAGGCTAGAAACTGTGAGACCGTTGGTTCTACTACTGCCTTAGGGACAGAGCCAGCTGAGTAACCTTGGGCTGGTCACTCTTTCTCAGCCCTAGGAAGCAGGCAGTGGCAAACCACTTCTGAAATATTGCCAAGAAAACTGCAGGGACTCGTCCAGACAGTCGCTGAGTCAACACTGACTTGAAGGCACCAAAAAAGAAAAAAACACACACGTAACAATAACATTTTTAGCTTGCTAAAGTCAGAATAGCTTGGCTAAAGAGTGTACCATCAGTGAAAATTAGGGCATTTCACTTTGCCAAAAAAATTACCAAGAACTGGAATTGATTTAGAATTCATTTCTTCTGAACATGTTCCAAATTTAGAAAATATGCCCTCCCCCTTTAGAAAAGACCCTGATGCTGGGAAAGATGGAAGGCAAAAGGAGAAGGGGACGGCAGAGGATGAGATGGTTAGATAGCATCACCGAAGCAATGAGCATGAAACTGAGCAAACTCCAGGAGGCAGTGAAGGACAGGAAGGCCTGGCACGATATGGTTCGTGGGCTCACGAAGAGTCGGACACGACTTAACCGCTGAACAACAACAACTTACAACAACTACAGCCACCATCCTTTTATATGTTTTCATGCCTTTTATGATGGAGATAAAATTAAACAATATAGGGTTAAGAAATGAAAGGACTTTATTAAAGATTTACATGATGAGGATACTCCAAAAATGGGGGATCAATTACAAATAATT